GGGGCTATCGCAGATCAGGCTTTACTTTTTTTACTATTTTCTTCTCTTTTCTTTTTCTCCACTTCTATCCGAATGATATCAGAGAAACTTTCCGAGATAGAGCATTATACGGCGGTGCCAGAGATAATGTACAGTACCGTTGCTGATAGCGGTGTCGAGTAACATTTCCATCAGCCGTATGTGCTCGAGTACTTCTGCTTCACCGGGGGGGGGGCTTTGGAAAGGGACTCTTCTCAAAACAGTCTTACTCATGCTTCAGTGGAATCTACCGTAGTATAGGAGGGGGGGAGGTATCATACAAGGCAATTTAGGTACCTTACTCGAGTAGTTGATTCAGTTGCAGTAGGATCTACTTGCAGAATACCGGTAGACTGTAGATAGGTAAATACTCGAATACAGTTGGAAAGTGCAATGGATAATCACAATTCGCGCACAAAATTTAACGTTATTTATGCAAAAATGTACAGTACAGTACACCATGGTAGGCCACCATAATAATAATAATAATAATATTATGCCATAATTTTGGTATCATACAAAGCCGGCACAAGTACGGTACTGTACTCGAGTAAGAGAGAGCGAAAAAAAAGGTACATAGCACGAATACCGTTCATCCGCCACCCTCCCCCTCCAAAACAAAACAAAACAAGTAATTCCGCCACGGGATAGCCCATCAAAGAGATCACAGTTTCCCTTATTATTATTATTTTTGCCCCCCAAAACCGCACAATACCACTCTCCCCCACCATCCAACACCCCACAAACCACCTCCTCAAAAAAAAATCCACGATATCAATCTACGAGTATTAGGTCCAACCCCACACGTAACAACAAAAAAAACAAAAACCAAGAATAATAAAAAAAATGATCCTTCCATAGGGCTGTCCAAACAAAATTCTCCCACAACCCACGCCCACCCACCCACTCACCAACCAAACAAACCAACAAGGCAACAAAAATGCAAACAACGAGATGAAAATACCTCTACCCACAACAAATTACCCCTTCTCTTCTTCTCCCCCCCCCCATCCACTTCCCTGACAAAAAAAAAAGAAGTGAGCTGCGATCGATCGAGGATCGATCGGTCGGTTTTTCAAAAAAAAAAAAAAAAAAAGCGTGTGAGGGATTAACCCGCGCAACCCTTTCCCCACGAGCCCCTTTCCAATCTGGATGAGGGAGCGTTGGGTTAGGTTGCCTACTCGAGTACAGTACTTGTACTTGTAGGTTGGTTTTACGATAACATAGGGTGCGAACGGGGGGGGGGTATTGGTGCGGGTGTCGGCATAGTTGCTGCTTTTGCATGGATGAGCACTCGGGATTGTTACGGTATGATAGCTATGATGTACAACTTATGCGAGGCTTGGTGAGTACTACTTGTATACAATAGTGGGGTGGAGTGGAGGGGATAGGATGCGATGGAAATGGGATGAGATGGGATGAGTGGCTGGGGTTAGTTGATGCGTTCCGACCTGAGGGTACTGTACTCGTACCGTTGACTTATCATGGTATATCATATTGTTGCAAGGAAGCGTGTAAACTCGAGTACTCGTACTGTACAGTACTTGTGCGTGTGCGTGCTTGCTGAATAGAGGGGTTAAGCTAAGCCACCCCACCACACATGGGGGAATCTCGGCCCCATCCTTCTTTTCCATGTCCGGTAATCAATTAATGTATTCCCCGAGTGATACATTGTGATCCATATACATCCAATGGCGGTGTACGAGTACTTTTTTCTTTCTTCCTTTTTCTTTTTCGTAAGGGCTTGTCCGAGGTTTTTTTTTTTTTTTCATTTCCAAGAAAGAAAGAAAGAAGAAAAATTCTATCATAACAAATTTTCTATCGTACAGTATGATAAATACTTCCTTGATATCATATGTCTTGAGCAGTAATGTGGGGTTATCGCACTCGTATCACAGCAATAAGTGGCTTTCGGGTTTAGGCTTTGTTTGCTACCGGTAAATGTTTGAGGGCGAGGTTTTTTTCTTCTTTCTTTTCTTTCTTTCTTTCTTCCGGTTTAACCTAACCGCGGCCATATGCGTCTTTACCGGAAAAAAAAAAGTATTGAAAAGATGTCTGGCATTGGGGGGGGAGGCGGTGTATTCTATCATAGCCGGGTTTGTAAGTTTTCTTTCCTTTTTTTCCAAACTACAGTACGAGTACTGTACGAGTACTCTTCAGATGTCATTGTACAGTACCGGTTGTACAGTACCCTCCGTTGCAACTTGTACTCGAGTAGACATGCTGACATAACAAAGGGAATGATGGAGTGTTACCGGGTTATCGCTAATATGCTTTTGGAGAATTGGACCTGATTTGCTCTGCGCTGGCCTACAGGAATTCACGCTTGGTTATCTAGCATGGAACGTGGTGAGTTCGACACGACATGACGTGAAGCGCGCTGCAAAGCATCGAATCGGAGGCACAGTATTGCACTGTACGTGAGGTGGCTCCATAGCTCCGGTATCAACATCACGGCAACTGCGCAATACTCTGCTCTTTTTTTTCCCTCTGAACATGGATTTGTACGCTACTTTTTAAGGTACGAGATTGTGGTCTGCATTTCCGATATCTCTATCAGCACCACCATCACCACCAATAGGAAACACTCTATCTGCCTCTAACGCAATAAGAAATGTACGATATGAATAAGGATATGCCAGCCTGAGGAGTGTCATGGAATACAAAGATGATCATGTTCCCCTACCTGGTAATGTACCGTACACTGCTCACCCCACCTTCCTCGCAACCCAGAACTGTGCTTCGTAAGCATTCCGACTCAAGCTCTCCTTATCCCAACCATACCCGGCCAGACACCCGCGCACTTTTCCCCTCCACTCGGGTGCTTGATCATTGAAGCTATCAGCACCGAAGCGGTCATCCGTGGGCAGCAGCTCGAATCCCAATCTCTGCGCCATTTGCAGTACCACCTCCAGCGATGGCTCGACCCACGGGCGGGTCCTGTAGAGCAGCGGACCCAAGTTAATCCAGGTCCCGCCAATCTTGAGCACGGCATGAATGTTCTCGAGGTACTCGACCAGGTTCCTAGCCGTGTCTATGAAGAACAAGGTGACCACCACGTCGTAAGATCCCCTCTCCCCGTCGTCCATGAACAGCTTCGTAAAGTCGCCTTCCAGCAACGTGTACCTTTTGAGCGCCTCGCTGGAAAGGTGGACCTCCGGGAAGGTGACACCTCGGAGCACATTCCCGCTCTCCCGCTGGTGGGACCACCAATTCAAGAACGGGTAGTAGGTGTGTTGAACCCTCTCCTTATCGTCATGATCGGCGAGCGATAGTACCCACCTGTGCGCCATCGACATGTAAAAGCTGTACTCGTTCGCGACGGTGGTGAACCCAAGCACACATATCTCGTACGTCAATCTGCCGAGGCCGGCGCCTGGCACAAGGATTTTCCGCCTAGTCCTCAGGTCCCCTCATTCCGGGAACAGGGTTTCCAGGGTCGAGAGGATTTGTACGAATGTTGACTCCCGCTCGTGCGCTTCGGCAGTGGACCAGTCGCGGGCGAAATGTTTGAAGGACTGTACGACCGACGTGTGGTCGCCTATCGGTTGCCTATCTGATTTGTGCGCAGACTGGAAGCGCAGGAGGTCCGGGAAGGGTATGTTGTAGAATGCTAAGCTGTGATCGAGGATTTGCTGGGCTATCTGGTTGTTCTTCTTGATGAGATTGGATGCTTCGTTCAATCTCTCGAGGTAACCGGATGACATTATCTGGAATTTATCAGCTTTCTTGTAGAAATAGCATGTATATATAATTGCAATGCATAGTAGAGCTAAATCCAGACCTCCCCCCGCCCTTCGCCGAGCCCCCACCACCCGCTCCTCTTCCTCAGAACTCCGGCCTGCGCTCTATCGCTGTACTCCAATAATCCCACCATCGCCGCAAGCAACCTCCTCCTCGGATGACTCTCCAATCCCTCCCATCCTGGCGTCGCACTCACCTGTTTCAGAATATCCTTCCTCCCACCGCCACTTAGATTTCCCGTACCTACAAAGTCCGCAATGCCGTCCCCGGCCACTTTCGGAGACGGGATGGGGGAGCTTGCGGGATGAACAATGGTTCCGAAAGGAAGATAATAAGGGTAGATACTGAACCGCCGCTATAAATCCGAGGTAGGCCAGGAGCGCCCAGACACTTGAACTTCCCGCACTCCGTGCCATTTGGCCCACCGATGTGGGGGGAAGTATATTTTCTAGCATGCAGTGCTCGTGCTGTGGGGGGGGGATAATCATATATGTACTGTACCGAGCAGTTGCGCCGAGAAGTGATATCTGATCCCATCAAAGTGCGCGATCTGATCCTCTGATAAACAGTGATCTTATCAATCTCTGCTGCGTTTAACATCACAACTACATACTACACCCAAAATACCTAGATCCAATGATCACAATACACTCTACCGTGCGGTAGAGGGAGTATATTATATTTATATTATTATATGTGCTGAGCAGTCGCGCCAAGGAATGATATCTGATCCCATCAAAGGCCGCGATCTGATCATCTGATATGCTGTGATGACATGTACCCCTGTAGCATCTTCCATCACAACAGGATTTTGCTTGTTCTCCCTCAGACTTTCAAGATTCACAACGCGCTCGAGCGGATGCTAGTCATATATGTACTGAGCAGTTTCGCCGAGAAGTGATATCTGATCCCATCAAAGTGCGCGATCTGATCCTCTGATAAACAGTGATCTTATCCACCTCCGCTGTGTTTAACATCACAACCACATGCTACACCTAAAATACCTGGATCCAATGATAACAATACACTCTACCGTGCGGTAGAGGGGTAGCTAGTTTGTTGTTGCTACGCTTGGGGAACTACCGTAGACAAGGTGGCCACAAAGGTGTCTGCCAAGAGCTTGTTCCGCAAAAGTAGGGTACGGTAGTCTAACAACAGCGGCTCAGGAACTGACATGACGTCCTTAACCTACTAGTATGAACGGTGTTTTTTTTGGGGGGGGGCAACATGCTATCGTGTTTTTCGAACTAATACAGATTAGAATTAAGGCTAAATTTATGACTTTGTTGATCATGACAGAAGCATCATAGCTTAGAAATTAGAGTGTATCGGCATAGCGCCGAGGTCTAGGTAGACAAAACCCAAAACCTCAAGTTACTTCCGCAATTGATGAAATCCCGGTGCATACTCCAACAGCCAATCCTTCTCAATCACGGTAACCTACAAGAACTCTATTAGCAAACAAACCACTCATTCGAGCATCGCGAGTATGAAATAAAATAAAAAGGAAGGGGAAAGGGGGTCTTACATCTCTAATGAAAGTCTTCTTCCCAGTCTCCACAACCTCGTGAAAGACAACCCAATCCGCCTTTCTGTTGAACATAACACTGCTCGGATGAGCCCACAGCTGCATACCATTAACACTTCGAAAGCTCCCATCAGGTTGCATCCTAGCCACATGCGCGAAATACCCCGTTGTCAAACACCTCCTTATGCCCTCGGCCGTCGGCGTACCACCACCGCCCTCACCAGATACCCGCAGGTTGAATTTGTCAATGTACCTTCTGAGCTGCCCGCGGACGGAAACGGCGCGCGAGAGCGCCCGGAAGTTTAGGTAATGGTCTTTGCACCACTTCGCGGCGTTGGGTTTGTTGGCCTTTGGGGCGAAGGCTTGGTAGACGTTTAGAAGGGTCAAGTGGTCGCCTTCTTCCACGGCGAACTTACGCTTTGCGGATTCCGCAGGCTTTTTGGAACCCTCGTGGGATATGAAGACGTTTTGCACGCTCGTCATTGCTGCTATGCTCAAGATTTGGTCGGTGCACTGGAAGGTCACTGAATTTAGTAACTGGAGATTCCATTGTTAGAATATGGTAGTTGCCCGGCCATAGTACTTTAAGAGGTTGGGGGGGGACCAACTATCTTGGCTATCATAGGATCCACCGGCATCTCAGCCATTCTCAGCCCTAGCGGTTTGGTAAGTCTAGCATAATCATCCAATGCCCCCAAACTGAAGAGCAACTCCAGCGCTCGAACCATGAGCTCGCTTGGAGGTGGAGTGATGAAATCAAAACGGACTACATTATCTATACCCAGAGCCTTGAGTTGTAACAAGACCGGAGCAAGATTACTTCTCTGTATCTCTGGTATCCCCATCTCGGCCATGATATCGTTAAAAGCTCTCTGAGTGTACAACCTGAAGCACTTGCCCGCTTTTGTCCTCCCTGCCCTGCCCGCCCGCTGCGTTGCCGACGCCCTCGAAACCGGCACGGCACTCAAAGCTTCGATCCCAGTCCTAGGATCAAAAGTACGCAACTTGACGAAGCCACAATCTATCACAAACACAATATTCTCGATCGTGACTGAGGCCTCGGCGATGTTTGTCGATACTATGACCTTACGATGGTTTTCTGGAGCGGGGTCGAAGACAGCTAGTTGCTCATCGCTCGGTAGTCCCGCATATAACGGGAGCGGTAAAAGTTGCGGGGCTCGTGGGTGAAGATCCTCTGCACGCTCCCTTATCATGGAAATGGCAGTTTCGATCTCCTCACGCCCTGTTAAGAATAACAGAATGTCACCCTCTCCCTCCTGTATTTATTTAACATTGATGTCAGAGCCTGCACATTTAATAGTTTATCCAAGAAATGTATGTTCATGGATCGTGCCTTTAGGTGTATATCAAAAACAGTCTGTACTGCCTTCTCCACATAGTTTTCCGTAGGCTCCTCAAGGTAGAGCACATCGACCGGATAGCATCTCCCTTCGAGCGAGATGATCTTGGCTAATTCCTTCTTTTCCTCGTCCCCATCTCCGTCATCTCTATCGCCACCCCTCTTCTTTTCCCCACTCTCTCCTTCATCCCCGAAAAACCTGGCGAACTCTTCCGCCTGCAGCGTTGCCGAACTAACAACTACTCTTAGGTCCTCCCTCCTCCGCCTTATTTTCTTCAATATACCCAGCAACACATCAGTGCTTAAGCTACGCTCGTGCGCTTCGTCGATCATGACGACTGAATACCTGGATAGCAACGGGTCCACAAGCGCCTCCCGGAGCAACATTCCGTCCGTCATGTACTTTATACGTGTTCGTGGAGAAGTCATGTCTTCGAAACGAATTGAATATCCTACCTATACAAACAAACGATGAAATTATGCAATAAATTTCGTCAGTCAGCCGCGCCGTATTCCGTAGATCAGAGGGCTCCACGGGCAAGGAAACAAGGGGGGGAAGGGGAAAGGAGGTCGCAATTCCACCAGGGCCCACGCAACCTCTTCGCCTAGTCTTACGCCCATTTCCTCCGCCACTCTTGTAGCTACTGTAGTTGCAGCTACTCGTCTAGGCTGTGTGCAAGCAATGACCTTGCCTTCCTCTGTCCACCCCGCTTGGTGTAGGTACTGAGGCAACTGTGTAGTCTTTCCTGACCCCGTTTGCCCAACAACTATCGTAACCGGATTGTTTTCGACCAGGTATAGTAGGGCATCCCGGTGCCTTGTGATAGGCAGTATAGTGGATGGGCGATAAAGGCTTACAAGGCATTCCTCTGATTCTGTAGCACGGTCGGCAGAAGCCATTTAGTTATTTGAGAGGGTCGGAAGTTCACTTCTTGGGATGGTGGTTGTATCAAGTTCTGTTATGTCACATGCGGAGAGATTTCTAGAGAGGTTGACGTGAAAAGCCGACAAAATTTGAGCCTCATCATGTGGAAGTGCACGGACCAATGTATTCATACTGTACTCGTAGATGGTCAATTGCTTGGCGAGAAAAGCGCAAACGATTTCCTATCACAGCGGCTTATGATACTTGCACGCAAACCAAGCTATGGTGCAACGGGCATTGGATTTTGCTGCGTTTTTTTCGCTGATGTGCACCCCATAACCTAATTTGCGCCCAAATATATTCAGGTAAGAAAATCTGTGTCCTAAGATATCCCCCTGTAGATACAGTATGATATATCAAGATTCAGAAACTGTCCAATGAGATAAAAAAGAAACCGCTGCTGTTGTTGCTAGTCCGACCAGCCAGCTTTTTTTTTTTTTGTTCTTCTCGGAGGAGGGGAAACAATAAAGCAAAATAAATGGAAAGCCAGAAACTAAAGAATACTTGCCAGACCCAAAGCCGGGCAAGGGGGATGAAAGTACAGACAAGTAGAAGGGTATTCCTTAACAGCCAGGGGAGAGAATGAGCGCAAGGTTAATGAATGCATCCACAATAATACGCCTTTAAGAGTTACTCCAGAACATGAAAATAAAAATATAAACTATGAATCAAAGAGGATCGTGAAGGGGGTAAAATCGGAAAGAAAGAAAAATTTGGACATGAGAAAAATTAGAGGCATATGAGTCTCTCCCCCCCTTTTTTGTCCGAGCTTTTTCTATCCGCAAATGCATATCCCACCGTTCCCCGCCTAGTTTTGTCTAACAGGTTGTTGTTTCTGACACCCGGATTAGGGTTCAGTTTGCCGACTTCTTTCTCGCCGGCTTTGGCATCTTCTCGTATGCGTTCGGATTGGGAGCTCGCTTGCTGTCTCTTGACTTCCCCTTTGCGCTTCTCTTGGGACCATGTCCACAATTTTTATTGTGTGTATGGCCATGTCCCTCATTTTCACTATCTTCGTCGGAGGAAGAGTCGCTCTCGTCACTTGAGGATTCATCGTATGCTCGGGGACGGCTATAAATGCAGCATACTATTACAGAAAGATATTAGTTTATGTTCAGAACTCCCGTAATTAGAATGTTGTTTTGCATATGCGGGGCAAGGCAAACAGTATGAGGATTTATGGAAACGTAGTGAAACAAACCTTTTGACTTCTTCTTCCCCATGCCTTCATTGTCAATAACACCAGCATCCCATCTTACCCGCCTGTTCTCGACCGGGCCACCACGAAGTCTGAGTGTGCCATCGGGAATTCTTACTGAGCGGATCGATGTTTGCACCGAAGGATCTGTTTCGGTTTGTGTAGCGGATGGCAGAGCAGGGGCCAACTCGCGGCGGTCTGGAGGAGGAAGGAGCATTGTGAGGGCGGTGCTGGAGGTGAAGATCGTGGGACAGGTGGATGAATCGAGGGCAGTGAGCAAGCGAGACGAAGAAAGGACTTGAGCGATGGGGAAGTACGGCCGAAGATAAGGAAGAAGGCTGGCTGCGGCTCGAGGGAGAGTTGGGGGGGGGGGTGTGCTGAAGGAACGACAAGCAAGAGTCCAGAGGATGAGGGTAGTTGAGTTAGAGTATAGTAATTGCACGTAAGAGCTTTTGTAGTGGAAATGGATAGGTGGCGATGGTAGTGGTGGCCGTAAGAGTAGGCAGGAGCCGGAGCAGGGAGAGAGAGGAAGAGGGTGTTGTGGGAAGGATGAGAAGGTTCGAAGCAGGTGTTCGGATTCACTCCACCACTTCGCGTGTACTTTTAGTTTTATTATTTCTTCAGTTTTTTTATTTTCTATTCCCCTCGCGCTTTTTTTTTCTTTTTTTTTCACTTCCCTTCCCATCCCTTGCCCGCCTTTCTTTCTTTTTTACATTATCATAGCTGCATAAGGTGCTTGCTAGGCCCTGCTGCCGCTCTGTGTGGATAAGATCCCACAAACCCTTGAGGAATTATTCCTATGGTACGGCTGTGCCATCAGCAGATTAGATTAGATCACCCACGCCCATGTTCTTCAGTTTGAGCTGTTGTCAGTTTACCGGTAATTACAGCACTGTACGAGCAGCTGTGCTGGCTGAGCCTTGCTCGCTTTCTGCTCAGGACCAACCAAGTTGAGACAAACGTTGGCGGGGCTGTTCTACCGGTACAGTATCACAGCTCTGCTTTTGCTTCTGCTTCTGCCTGTTCCTATGTTACTTCTGCTATTTCTAAAGCTTAGCAGCTTTGGACTTAGTGCGCAGCTACCCTACCTCGAAGATACTCGTACCGATACATATTTCCACACCAAAATCCCTAAAGCGAACTTCCTTCCACCTCCCCGTACCAATTGAAATACCGGTAATCTTCACTGAATGATTTACTTACTCGAGTATGATATCTATTGATTGCTTGATTGATTGTCTGATTTTGCTAACTGATTTATGATACTCGAGTAGTACTCAACTTAGACTATGATAGTCTACCTTTCTCTGGATGCATCCAGGACTTCGTGACAAATGACGTGACACCGCGTCCCTCCTTCTCACCTCTCCCATCCTCACACTCCATCTCACCACACCCTCTCACCACACCCTCACCACACCCTCTCTTTATCTACCCTCCCTATCATCAAATGCTCATTACCCGCCACCCAGAGTTTACTGACTTGGGTTTCGTGCTTCGATCCCGACTTTATTCTCGATTTAGCAGGCCATCCCCCCGCTTGTATCCAAGGAGCTTGCAATTGTAGCACCGCACATCTGGTTTCGCTGCCGTTGCTGCTGCAACATTTGGCAATCGTTTTTTTCCCTTTTTGTGGACACCTCTTGTCTGCTCTGAACCCCTCCACTATGCTTTCCTGCCGTTATCAACCGGCTGAAGCCCGCAGCTATGCGTGGCAAGCTGGCTGATGCTATTTTGCAAAGAGGCTGGAGCAAAAAAGCAGAAAAAACGACCGACCTCCATCTGAAGTCTCCTGTTTGCTGTCTCACCCATGCGTGCCGAGGATTTTGGGGCCGAGGATCGACGAGTCTTGCTCTCAAGCCTTCTCCATAATAAGGCAACATCAAAAGAGAAAAACGAGCTCCAATATCTTCTGAATCACCGAGACAGGACGTTTCTTGCACTAAAACTCTTGAGCACTTGGAGTGAGATTAAATATCCGTAAGCTGCTACCAAACACCAACCACAACAACAGGCTCCACGTGAATAGAAAAACTGCTGGATCTGCCTTATGAGCTTATTCGGGTCTCTCCAAACCCCGAGGTCCCTTTTTCATGTATAGTCTCTGCGTGTCACCGGCTCTATCGTATCTCCAAACAGCGCCGCGCGGGGGTTTTCCTGTTAGTGCCCCCATTGAATGCCGTGAACACAACACTAACAGGAGCGTGGGGCCGCAGGATGTGTGGGTAAAGGAAAAGAATATTTCTACAAATAATTGTTGCGAAACGGGGGGTTTGCTTGGGTATCATGGCTTCCTAGTGGAGGTAAAAAAGCCAGGCAACTAGGGCCGGGGATTAGACCTTCAAGCTCGTGATAGGGCTCCGCGCATTGACCTCTCTCTCGATAAACTAGGATTCTCCGGAACCGCTCTCTCGGATTGGACCAATTTTTGTGGATGTTTCCGTCCCGCCGTCAAGTGCATAGTAGTTCCTACAAATTCATTACTCGAGTACGGTACTCGAGTACTAAGTTAGTGCAACAACAGCACCGCTCGCCCTACTCTGGCCTAGTACAAGTACCTGTTGCCGTTTTCTCGGGGCGGTTATGTTGCTTTGTTTTTCCACCCTTTTTTAGAGACATACAAGTACCGGTGCGATACAATGGGCACATGGCGAAGTACTGTACTTGTACTACTGCGAGTTCGCCCCAATGCGGCCAACCATAGGGAACGGCGCAGACAACCGAGCCTACAGGAGTGCGATCTTTTATCCTTAGACCACGCAATACCTGGGATTAAAGTGCCGGCTCGTACTCGTAAGTAAGTTGGAGGTGGAAAGTGAAAAAACTCATCAGAGTAATCATTAGATATGCTGATAGACGATTACTGGATTCGGAGTACGAGTAGGGGGGACTAGAACCGATGAAACATATAAACCCCCAATAGAAGGATGGAGGAGCTGGAACGCGTGGGATAGCAAGCCATTAGTCCCGAATAGATTATGCGCCCCACACCTGATATTTCCACCTACTCGAGTAGCTGAATAAAGTGAAGTGGGGAGGGCGCGAGAGTGGAGGTGGAGGGGGGGGGTGTGCCGTTTCCTATTCCCAGCGCAGGAGAATACTGTATCCGTACTCTAAGTAGAAGAAGATGTACCGGTAAGTACTCGAGTACTTGTCACCCGTAACCAACCGACCCCAGGCCACATTGTAATACTATTTCTCCGTCTGGCAATGGTTTTGCTATCTGTTTGTACAAGTGCTCGAGTACAGAAAACCCCGTACTTGTATACCTAATATGATGGTCTTTAAATAAAATAAAAATTGACTCGCTCGCTCGCTCCTTCCCTCTCACACACTCTACCCGAGCACGAGTATAGGAACCCGTTAGCCCGGACAGAGAGAACAGGCAGGACATAGTCCATTACCTCAAATAACTGCTCTACTCGAGTACAACTTGATGTGGACCTTGAACCCAATCGCAGTACCGATAGCATAATATTATTTACCTAAATACTACGCCTGTGCTCTCGGCTACCCTACTCAAGCGTCTTTGCTAGGACGCCTCCGCAAGTCGATATTTTGTTGGGGTCCTCACTGAGCACTCTGCTTGTGCGGGCATTCTTGGCAAAGAGATGCATATCGTACGTATGCCGGTATTGTTTGCTTGACAGCTGGTGAAGAAACGGAAAAAGAGGTTCCCCCACGTACCTCTTTTACCCACCCGAGAAGACCGGCCTAACCCCCTTCAGGTAACGTAGATATCAATCATAGTTTTCTCAATTATTACATTCGTCCGCTGTAGCAAGGGGAAAAAGCCAATATCTGCTCTCCCAGCATGAATATTCCGATCTCGTACTTCCTACAGCTAGCTAGCTTAACAATGAGCTTCACTCTCATTCACACCGAGTCTGACTTCCTTTCTTTCTCACCACTGGTGGTACTAACTACCTGGTTTGCCTGGTCATACAGCTCACCGCAAAAGAGGGATAATGCAGTCTCCACCCTGCGAACAAGCGTATCAATTTTCTTCCTCGTCCCGTTTCCTCTCTTCTCTCCTCTTGCCCGGGAGAGTATGAGCTTTTTACCCCTTGCCCCAAATTTTTTATTGCTGTCGCCATACCATTCCACCTCCCCATCTTCCCCCCTCTCACTCAATGCGTCTGAATTTATTTTGCTGCAGCATTAATCATTGATGCTGCTGCTGTTGTGCTCGCATTGTACGGGCTATGTGATGTCAAACCCGGGAATAACACTTCGTATGGTTGGAGCTTAATGCCGTATATTGTCGAGTATGCACTAGTCTTTCGCAAAAGACCAACTATTTGAGTCGAGGGCGGGCTTTTTTTTTTTTTTTACTAGCTTTACTTTCTTTACTTTTTCAAGTAATTTTTTTTTCTGTGATGGGTTCCTCGATCGGTGAATCTGGTGGATTTGTACGGGTATCGAATCTGGTATGGGGATCTTTAGTGTGATAGTATTGAAGAAAGGTGGGGTGGTTGTTTTGTTTCGTGAGGATTGGCTTGGCAGGTGGTAGGTATTTAAGCTAGCTGAGTAATGGGGTTCGCCAGGAGATGAGGAACAGGGGAGGCCGAACTGACCAATTGAATCAGGAGAGAGAGAGAGAGAGAGCTTGGCCTACGAGGAGACAACTGCGCAAGAAAGCACTGCGTGAGAAGCCAGCTAGCTTTTATTTTGTGCTCGAGATGGAATGTTCATACCGTCTGTTCCACTCCCAGTTGCTGTGGCACCGTTTATATACAGTCACTGGCCGAAAGTGTTCGTGGATCTGCTTGGTCGGATGTCTCACATTTTCTCCGGGGACTGTAGCTATTATAGTAAACTATGTTTCTATATTGTAACTACGGTAGTTGATCTAATAGTTAGATGACTAGCAATCATGTACGATATATTATAGCTCACCGGCTTATCGGCTTACGTACAGGCACTATATGCTTCCCTCTTGCCCTAACTCCTCAACTACGCCCCCTTCAAACAAAGGAAGCCCCATGCTCGCTGATAAGCACAAGTTCCCAGTATCCAAAAGGCTAATCGACCCTCTCTGTCTTTCTCTATCTCACCCTCACCAAGCACCCAAAAAATAGTCTATGGCAAGTCAACTCACCTCCACCCTGCGCATATTACCCGCTGTACCAACAACTCTATTTCGAATCCGCCCTACTAGTAGTGCACTCGAGCATAGTCCAGCGCATTACTACACGTCCGCCAAATTCCGCAAACAACCAATTTTCCAACCCAATACACCAAAACGGGGGAAACAAAAAAAAAAAGAAAAAAAGCCCCCAGCACAATGGACCCCATTGAGTGATCTACAATACAGCATGACATGATAACTCTTCCCACGATACGTACCAATCTCTTCCCACAGTCCAGCACAAGCACAAACAAGCCCTCAACCAAAACTGTGACCAAGCCTAGCTACGATTACCTCCAGAACTGCACATCACGTGCCTAAACACTTCACGTGTGAAGCGTGGACTAACCCGCAGTACCTTTACAGGAGAGTACTTAAACGCCAGGCTTTAAATACCCCC